ATATGAATCAACCAAAGTAATAACTCAGTAAATTGTTTAAAATGAACACTTCAATCTAGAAGACCCCTATTATAATCTTCATGCAGTCATTGTTCACTGTGGCCCTGGCGTTGAATCTGGTCATTATTACGACTTGGTCAAAGACGAAACGGACTGGTTTAAGTTTGACAATGGTCGTGTCACTAAGTGTTTTGGCGATGTATTGAATTTATTGAAGCCTCTGGAGACATCCTACATTTTGTTTCATGAATGAGAGGACATTGGCAGATCAAGGTCTTCAGATGATGTGGTGCTGCAGGTTTTTCCGGGTTTTCCTGCAGCTGAAAAAGTAAATACGCCACTGAAATCAATGAAGTCACCTCGGAGCGCCAATAAATTTTTGTTGTTGTTTTATAATTTCATGATTTGTATTGAAAACTCATTCACAAAATAAAAACTTAATTTTTCCAAAAAAAAGTCAATTATTAGGATGCAATACTAGAAACATTTATAAGCTGTACTTTTCAACATGTTTTATTATAATGTCTTGATCGAGCCTTTTCACTGGGAAACTTTTCATGAAAGAACCGATTTTTTCACTTCGACCTGTTTTGAGGTGAAATGGGTCGGATTCAACAGTATTGAGTGGATAGGCTTCTCTTGTTAACCAAACTGCCTTTTCATTACCGTTATTTTCTTCTTCTTTGATGTGAGAGATAATTGGATGTTGACTATGAGTGCTTGAGTAAGAGAAGGGGCTATACAACACAAGTTGTTTTTTGGTTTTAATGGTTCGGGAAGTGAGCCACATCCCCATATCCATTTTCAGAATGAACAATAATTTATTTTATTGTACGATTTCGTTATTCTAATAAAACCTTTATTTTCTCAAAAAGATTATTATGAAGCATAGCCCCTTCTCTTACTGAATCACTTGCATAATTGCCTAAAGTATACTCATTGAACCTGTTATAATCTTCTTGAGTGTCTTTCTTCTACAATAGGTTAACGTCTCACATACAGCATATATTTTCCTATCGAAAACTGTGTAATTTGAAAAAGATAGTGAAGTATAAACTAATGATTGCTGCTTCGACTCTTTTGCCTGTTTCGAACGCATCAGATAGAGTATGCTGAAATCCACGTAGATCTTCATCAACGAATTTAAGGCTGTCTGTCGTTTTTCTGTATCTTTTGAGACTGGTGATTTAAGGGATTGTCCAAAGTAGTGATAAAGTAGTGTCGAGAGAGGGGAAGGTAATTAAAGGTTGATCTAAACTTGCAGCACTCTTTTTTTGGGACTTGTTTTTTTTGTAATTCTAATATATATTTTTCATTGAGTTTTGTAGGTCATTCCTGTTTTGCATTCAAGTATGCTTCACACTTGATATACTCGTATCATCAACAGTTTCGGTCCAAGATGAAAATCATCATGGTTCGACCGATGAGAGACTTGACCGATTCTGGCTTTCACCTTTCAAAAGTCCCTATTATTTTAACGTCATTTGTTTATCTATTCTGAGAAAAATGAGCAGGTCAAAAGCTGTCTATCATTCAAGTCGACGTATTCAATTGAGTAGCGATGTAGATTTCAATACAAACAAATTCATTATAAAAACATAAGATTTCACAATTCAAAAGAACAAAATCCGGTTTAGTTATCGTTGCCGAAACTTCGAAATTTAACCTTCTTATATGCAGTCAACGCACTTACCACTGATGATGTCTTCCGCAGTAGCAGACAAAATGTTTGGTACTACAAGTTCCAATAGACCACGGCATACCACGTCGGATCATGTTTTCTTCAACAGATTCATTAATTCATCTATTCAAATAAAAATACTTTCACAAGGTGATCAACAAAGCAAAAACTAATAAGCCTCACTATACTGAATGCTCAGTGTTTCTGCCGTTCTCCTTGGTTCTGGGACTTGAGGTAATAACATATTTTGTGTAACCATATGTTTCGTATCACAAGCATGGCGGGTTTTCTGTTTCAGATCTTCCAAATCATTTTTAGATCTGAATAATGGATAACGATGACTTCATTTTCAAAATCCGGAAAAGTAAGGTCAGATGATCTTGCGCGGGTAACCTATTCGTACTAGTAAAAGCACGATGGACGGTGTTCACACTTGGTGCCTGAGGAAGCAGATGCCTGTCAACCCCAGCAAAACTGTGATAATCTCCTTCACCAAGAGAAGAAAATTGGACGATCTAACGCCACTTTCCCTCAATGGTGAGGTCATTCCATTTGGAATGGAGGTGAAATATCTTGGCATTGTCCTTTATAAAAAACTCACGTAGAACGCTCACTTGAAAAAAGTTTTACCCAAAACCAGACTGTCCCTATGGACATGTCGAAGGATTTGTGATAAAACTTGGGGTTTAGTCCCAAACAAATCCATTAGATTTATGCGATGATTGTCAGACCAATGATCACTTAATGTGCGATTGCCTGGTGGTCGAAGGCTTTACAGAAAACGGCCCCAGGCGAAGCTCTCTGCCTTACAGAGACAGGCTTGTCTGGCTATTAGTGGTGCCATCAGTACCACACCTTCAGTGGTCATGGAGATCCTTCTAGATCTACCTCCTCTTCATATTTTTCTGTAGAGACAGGCTAGATGGACTGCATTATAGACTTGTGCATATTGCCAATTGCACAAATCAATTTAATGCAGAGTGCAACAGACTGTTGGTTGACACTGAAAGTCACAGCATTCTGGAAATGACCTCTGACTTTATGCCTCCAACTGTCAACCACGAACTGCCCTATAAAGAAGGAAATATTGAGAGCAGATAGTTGTTGGTTCAGATATAGATCTAAAACACCTTCCGGTTCTGGTGCAAGTTTTTTCAGTCGCATACCCAGGACAGAGATATCAACTTGTCTACTAATCTATGCGAGTGTATTTCAAGCGGAAATTTACGCTATTGTCTACGGAGAGATTGGAAGAATCCAACCCCATAACAAGTCGATAAAAATATTCTCGGACAGTCAAGCGGCGTTGAAAGGTCTTGGCTCCTACCGAGCAACGTCTAAATTGACAGCAAATTGCCAAAAACGACTCTCCTCGATAGAAAGACTTAAAATTGTCTCTCGTCCAGATGCCTGGCCATACTGGCCTGGAAGGCAATGAGGCTGCTGACTCCTATGCAAAGGAGGGTGCTCCCAGCAGATTCATTGGACCGGAACCTGTCATTGGCATCGCTTTAGGATTTGTCAAACAAATATTGAATACCTGGATGGCAAGAAGATGTATGGACTTCTGGCAGAATCTTCCAGAACTGGCTCACTCCAAGGCGTTCATTCACCCTTCGAAGCTTGATACCAAACAGTTGTTGTACTATAGTAGGAATGAACTACAATGTCTAACAGGCCTTCTTACAGGTCACTGTCATTGAATCATCATATGCAGAGACTCGGACTGTCGGAAGACAGTATATGTCGCCTCTGATGTTTGGAAAATGCTGAAACAGCAGAGCACATACTTTGTGCCTGCCCCGCTGGGAACCGAATAAGGTTTTTAGAGTTTGACATAGCAGTATTCTAACCATCTGACCTGAAATACCACTCACCATACAAACCAATCGGCTTCGTTGAGAAGCTGGGATTATTTGGTCAAGTGTAAGTAGGTGTGTGCCATAATAAACCCTTATGGGTTGCGGTGAAGAGTCGAATAGACCCACCCACTTTGAACTGAACCTAACTATTATTACGAATCCACGTGCTTTATTTCCATCTATTCAAACAAAACTTTTGTGTGAACCACAGGTGTAGGTACAGGTGTACCGGCATGTTGATAAGATCAAAAATTCCATATGTATAGTCAGAAAAATATAACAACTATCCAACACAGAATCTGTAAAAACTAGTGCTCTGAACAACATTGTAGGAACAATTGTCAAGAGAAAATAGATGGAAAAACGCAATGATATGCTTCATCCTGAACTAACGTAATGAATTATTGTATGAAATGGTTTTTGTTTTAGTGTTGAATGTATATTTTTGAATGTTTCTGAATACGTTTTATATTTTCATGAAATGATTGGTTGTTGTTGTGGAATTGGCCGCGGTGGTAGTGCGCCCGACTCACGATTGGAAGACCGTAGGTTCGATTCCCGTTTCGACCAGATATTTTTCTCAAGATAATTTATCTGAAGTTTCTCAACTTCTGCGAGTTGTCGTTCGTATGGGGGCGACAGCTGATTACCGAAAAAAACAGATTTTAAACAGATTTTTTTCAAACAGAACAGATTGTGAGTCACATATTGTTTTAATCTTTCCATCTTAAGGAAATATTTATATCATTATTATATTATAGTCAGTGAACTATTGTTATAGATATAGTTAGTCATGAAAATCACAATGTTTTCGAATTTTGAGAATTTATGAATGTCAAAATACTGCATAGAATTCTGAAAGTTTTCTTATAAAAATTGCGAAAGTGTGAGAAAAGTTCATGGCCCAATTCGTGAATAAATTAACATATCTGGCATAGTCGGCTAGATATATATACCCTTGGTGATTATTTAATTATTAATTGTATCCATTTGTTGACTCTTGTATATCTATCTTCAATTCTGTATCAGTTTAACATATTTCATGTGTTACTTGAAGATGAGTAGGTACCGTAATTTCTATCCCCAAAATGTGAATAATCACAATAATCTATTCTGACGTCCTATAGAGAGGCTAGACATACTCATATGATGAATATTACTGGAGTTTTTTCCCAACACCAAACCGTAGTTTGAAAACCTCGACACGTGTTTCGATCACCAAGTGATCATCTTCAAGAGGAAGATCACTTGGTGATCAAAATACGTGTCGAGATGTTGAAACAACGATTTGGTGTTGGGAAAAAAACTCCAGAAATATTCATCACTACACCAAAGTTTGCGAACAGTTAATCACAAGTATATTCATGTGATGAAAAAATGTCTATTAGTAACGAATATGTATCTTTGAACTGAGTTCATCAAGTGATACATAGATTTCAAACATTCAAAGACCTGAAGTATAAAAAGAATTATAATTGAAATTTACTTATACATCTTAATCCTATTCAAATATCAAAAAATAAAAAAGTATACTAAAACAGTCACTCATTTTTATTATCACGGTCGCAATTTACTTATTATCCATGGTACATAGTTGGCGACTTTAGTGTATACTCCGGGCCATCCTTGCATTCCACACGGAGACGGACCGAATGAAACAACGCCAATAGAGTACCAGTTAATCTCTCCATTTTCATCAGCGTATAGGCTCATCAGAGGACCCCCACTATCGCCTCTACAGGAATCCTTTCCTTTCTCGCCTCCCGCACACACCTGAGACCCTTGGAGGTTGACACCAGCCTGACTATATATTCGAGAACATTCCGAGTTAGCTTTCACAGGTACCTGAAAATGTTTATTCAATTATTTTCTTTGTAAATTTTTACCTTCCACAATCACAAAATGAATTGTAATGAAGAACTCAATACAGGTGATGAAAGGGTTAACTTCTACTTTATTTCAGCAATTTTTTTTTCCAAAATGTGTCTCATTTCAAAACTATTAGAAAAATTTCAAAGACGAATTGAAACATGAAATATGTCTTAGCATGTGGTTTATGGTGATAATTTTTTTCATACAAATCTACAATCACCGTAAGATTTCAAAACACGTTCTGACATTTTCGTTTTTGATGTTATCTTGATGTTTGATAGCTCGAACTTTTGATGGACTTGATGTTTCAATCTAAGTTTTCTTTTTTCTTTTGTGTTGTTGAGCTCTGTATGTGTCAGAACAGATCTCAACTTTTTTCATTTTATAAAAAGTTCTAACATCATATCGTCTTATTGGTAGAGTTGAATGCCAATCTTCTATCTGACCTGTGTTTAAATTTACTAATTAATTTATGAATAATAATGAATTTAGATGGTTGATAACCATTGTTGACAGCATTCTGTTTTAATGTATTTAATTCTGAATTAAAATTGGAGGGTGATAAAGGGATGTTCACCAATCTATTCAAAGTGGAAAACTATAACAAATTAAAACAATAACTAATATCAAGAATGCACTCATCTGATTCACTTCCTTTGATGATCCTCATTATCGGAAGTGATGAATAACCCCGATTTATATAAAAGCTTTCAGTTGTGAGATTTGTTTTCAGTCATTTTCCTGATGATACTGACTCGATCAAAGAATGTTAACTTCCTCGGCCGGCGATAACTGTGGGAAAAGCTATTTTCCGGTTTTTTTGGCCGTGGTTTGCAGGTTTTTATGCCTGAGGTTTCATCTAATAGTGCGGTAGACATTACCAAAAAGTGTTTCAATAGATCAATATCACACCAGAGGTTCTTGTTACATTAATCAAGATATTGAACAGTCTAAAACCAAATCCAAATAAGCATTTCATCATCAAAACCACGTAATGTTTTGCAGTATTTCAAACCTTTCTGTTATGTAGGAGTGGCAGTTTACTAATATCTCCTTCAAAACTTGCACGATGGTTTGATAAGGCGATTAACTTCAATGAAGTATCATAGATGAAATCTATTTTGGATGCATATAGACATAGTGAAAAATGAATAATTATATGACAATCAAATGACTTGACAAATAGCAACACTAATTCTGATTCAACAATCACCCGTCTTCAAAAAGAGGAATGGAAAGTGGCAAAATTTCAACAGAATATCAGACAATACTTATCACTGCATCCAATATATCAAATATAGCAATTTTCTACAAAACTTAAGATTCTGTTTTGTCATGTGTTCTAAAAAAAAAGAGGCACAATTATTAGTTGATGGCATAATTTAGCCTTTTAGATAGTTTTGTCTTGGTAGCGGAGATGAGTAGGTTCAAACTAAAAAGCATAAGTGGCGACAATAGAATGATTCATTATTGCCCAAGCTTGAGTTAATTACTAAAGTAATCGTTAAACGCTAGTCAATACTTACATCAAGTTTCAGTTTCACAGAGCTCTCTGACCTGGTTTCGGTTTTACCCCAACCAGCCACTGTCAGTTTTTTTCCAACGAAACTTTTGGTTTGATCATTTGCAGTTTTCGGTAAACAGATTGGTTTGACGTTAGCTGAAATAAGTAATTAATATTTTTATAGTAATCATGAAGTTTCAGTTTGACCTATAACTGTTCTCCTTTTATTTTTTTGATCTCAAGAAGAACATTTCAAATGTATGTAGGAAATATTTTTTCTAATCATCATATGTTACACAATAGTCCAGATTCAAATGAGAGGCTAATTGAATCATATTCGAATAATTAATTAGAAAACAAACACAATGAATAATAGAAAGTGCTTTTATCCCCTATAAAATGTGTATTCAACTACAAAATATTCTACCTAATTACTGACCAAACCGCATTCTCTCATAAAATCCTCGAACTGAATTCTTTGCTTCCAGAGAGGACTAATTTTTTCATCAAAATATATTTCTTCTATGCGGTGAATGAATCTAGAGCTCAGTAGTGTAGTGGTACATCTTTTAACCATAATTATTCGCAGAATGGGTATTCTGCTAATCAATCAAGTCTTGATTCCACTTACTTTTTATATTAATCAAGGAACCATATTGTGATAATTGCGAGCAAGTTCAACTGAAGGTAGAAACATCCCTTTTATCACTTCCACAATATTAGGTTCATAAGAAAACATACAGCTCAAACGTTGAAATCTCAAAACCACTAAAATGAGCTATAGCTTCTATCTGATGAGATCGATCTCACTTGATATGGGTAGATACAAATTCTTGCTGCTTTTAAATATTTTTTATCTGAGTAGAAAACGATTTGCAGACTGGTTACACTGAAGAGAATCAAGCCGAAGCAATATACAGTGTGTCAGTATGAAAAATACGTCGAGAAGGACAACTTATTTCCAAGGGGGACAATTTGCAGGCTGATTTTCGAAAAAATTACATACCTCCGGAAATTTCGAAAATCGTTCAGCTACCTTTTCAGAAATACCACATATTCAAGTAGAACTTCATTGCAAGATCCTCACTGGTGGTGTTACTTGAATAAGTTAAGGAATTTTTATAAAGTATCGGTCAATTCCATCAAATAACACATACTTGACTCTTCTTGTAAGCAGTTCGCGGGGGATTTGGTAAAAACCAGAAATATATAGAAAAAAATTTGTGATTTCATTTCGGAAGATTGAAATGAAAGAAACTGAAGGCGTTTTGCATAACCATAAATGTTTGAAGTACCTTACTTCTAATATCTGACAAAATAATAAAAAAGCATAATATTCTGTTTGATATCATCATCAGAAAAAATCATAATTCACCTAAATTAGTACTTAGTTGGTGGTCTCGAATAACATGTTAGTTAAAATAGTTGAAAAACAAACATCAATCACTCATANCCCTATTATAATCTTCATGCAGTCATTGTTCACTGTGGCCCTGGCGTTGAATCTGGTCATTATTACGACTTGGTCAAAGACGAAACGGACTGGTTTAAGTTTGACAATGGTCGTGTCACTAAGTGTTTTGGCGATGTATTGAATTTATTGAAGCCTCTGGAGACATCCTACATTTTGTTTCATGAATGAGAGGACATTGGCAGATCAAGGTCTTCAGATGATGTGGTGCTGCAGGTTTTTCCGGGTTTTCCTGCAGCTGAAAAAGTAAATACGCCACTGAAATCAATGAAGTCACCTCGGAGCGCCAATAAATTTTTGTTGTTGTTTTATAATTTCATGATTTGTATTGAAAACTCATTCACAAAATAAAAACTTAATTTTTCCAAAAAAAAGTCAATTATTAGGATGCAATACTAGAAACATTTATAAGCTGTACTTTTCAACATGTTTTATTAAGATGATATAATTTCAGTTCATTTCAAGAGGTGACTACAAAAGGTTAGGTGAGAACACGAGTGAAGCAACATTAAGTTTTTGGTACTTTGATGGTGGCGGTTATTGAGTACACATTCATATCTTTAGATTTGCTAGTAAATGCCCTTGAAAATGTAAGAATGATCGATAATCTTCACTTTGAAATAGTTCCTAGAAGGACGAAATCCATTTTTAACCAATTTAAAGTAATCCAGTCATCTATTCAACGCGTTAGGATCTTGTCAAAATATATTCTACCAAACTAGATTCTTGAACGTCTATTTTTATGAATTTTATTTTTCAGATAGGATATGAATACTAAATTACTTTCCCATTTTTCTAATATGACGCATATAGCATGTTCATGGGAAACTTTATGGCATAACTTTTATGAGTGCTTTCGAAGAGTTAACTCACCTGTAAATGTAACTTCCCTGGCTAGTCTGAGTAAACCTATATCATGATACTGATTTACATCATATGCATCGTATTGTTCATGTGCTACAGTTTCCTCAACAGGTACATTTATGGGGGGAGGCGAGCACTGAACTGTAAAACCGTTGTCGTAACAGTCTGTCTCATTGTCGGTATTATGTTCTCCAAGTCGAACACTCACTCTGAAATAAAATCAGAAAAATTATTGAATTATAGTCTGAACATAGAACACGACTAAGTTATTTTAGAATATTGAGAAGTCACTTTAACAATCACACTCAATTTCAAAATGCTATGTAGTTTTTCTGAAGTTGGTAAATTCATTGAACTAATACGATTTGCTACAATTAAAAATAGAAGAATTTCATATCATTTGATGTAAACTCAATTTTCTCTAGTATCGGTTAATATAATTATCAACATGTAAACTGGACAGAAATACGTGCCATTTCATAACTAAGAAAGCAACTGTAAAGTTGACTTGGAATATGGCTTGGCTTTTTTTTTGCCCAATAACTGAGACGGAATATGAGTTTACTGAAAGACAAATAATGAAGTATATAATAGAACGATTTGGGTCTACTTACAGTTTCCATGTTTTTGGTAAGTCTTTTCCCTTTATGCAATGAGCAGCTGTTAAAATATATCGCGAATTGATCAAGACACCTCCACAGTAGAATCCATGTCTTCTATCGTCTGAAAAAAAAACCGGATACAATAATGTTCTGGCACAAATATAACAAATAATACACTTCTCAGAATTTAGTAAGAACATAATGATGAAGTGTATTGAATAATATTTAATGAATTTTTCACTTTGTGTTAACTGATGATGCAGAACTCAATTTAACTCATTTGGATTTTTATTGTACATCAACTGAAAATACTGAAGTAAACTATATTTCTTGACTTCTGCTAGTATATTTATCTTTCACCTTTCATTTCAGCTGAATTTTGCTGTCAATATTCATTTTCAGAACAATAAGAAACTCAATTCTTTGAAAGACATTTTCTTTGTGGAGGACTCAATATTCCATACTATTTTTTTTGGGTTTATACCCTTCCACAATCTGAAAAGATGAATCGATAGAGAATCTGCTGAATTGTAGTAGGTAAAGGGTAAACTGAAAAGTTCACTGCGTAGTGGCCCCTTTTACCAATCTTCAATCTAATTCATCATTCAAACTCCCCCTAGAAAGCTCAGTGTTCATTGGTAAACATTACGCCATATGGAAAGCACTGCAATACATGGGAGCAATCAAGTAATTACACTCCAACAATCCCATCATTCGTCATATAAGAACTGGTCAATATAGTCTATGGAAAAGGGGTAGTCATAAAACTCATATGGGTCCCTTCTCACGTAGGTATAAGAGGAAACGAAAAGGCTGACAGATTAGCTAAAGAAGCCACTATCAGTGATTTAAACAGCACAGAAACCTATGTTGTCCATACTGATATGAAACCGTACTATAAGAAAATCCTCACTGAATGGAAGATCAAGATCAATGGAATGGGTCTTGCAACTTTCCAAAGTAAAAACAAGTGTACTTCCATGGAAACATCTCTCGACAAGTAGGAAAACCCAGGTCACTGTATATCGCTTGCGAATAGGCCACACTCGCCTCAGCCATGGATACCTCATTGCCGGCAACACCAGCCCTATGTGTGAAGTGTGCAACTCTCCCTTAACTGTAGGAAATATCTTAACAAAGTGCCCTGTTATTAACAACGCATTAGGACCTAAGTGTGATATTGAAAATATTGTGAAGTTTTTAGAAAATGTCAACTTGTTGAACCTTATATAATACCACTGCAACTGATGCATTGTTCAGTCGCTAATAACCCTGAAGGTTGATGCGACTTTGAATAAAGTAGGTAAATTAAAAAAAGTTCACCTCAAAAAGTAACTGCGATTCACGACATTTCCATTGTTAGTATAATCGGGTGATTTTTTATTTTTCATTTCATTTTAATTCTTCAAATTTCAATTTTTTCCTTAATTTTTTATTTTATTGTGATTTCTTTTAATGATTTTTTGCCTAATTTTTTTCAGCTATTCTTTTTATTTTTATTTTCATTTACCATTTCAGAGATTTCAAATCATATCATATCAATGCAAGTCCGAACTAATGAAATTCCCCATGAAACATTGTCAACCACGTTGAAACAAAAATTGAGTATATATTTGAAACGGTCCTGAAATCGGCCTGACGGCTAACTAATCCTTATGCTGACTGCTGATCCGAATCCGATTAAAGTCAGGATGCCCAGTCACTTAACCCATTCCGTAGACGTTAAATCGACTATACATTTTGAGAACAGAAATTTTGGGTCACAGGATCCAATTACAACTCAAGGTTATTTTTTATAAAGTCGAACCTGACTGAAGGAAGTAATATGATGCGGGATGGATATCGCGGCAACACCTTTTAAGGAAATTGTAGGGCACGTTTCAGATGTGCTTTACGAGGTTCGGCTAATAAATAATGAGACTGTTCGCCTAGAGAGCGCTCTAGAGGGGTAGGGAAAAAACGAGTAGTGCGTTGGATATCTGAATATATTTTCTATTGACGTACCAAAACACGTTTTCGTCACTATTATAGTATTTGTGCAGTAGCGGATTGAAACGAACGTGTTTTTTTCTCGTGCTGAAAACCAAGCAACGTATCAATCTCAAATTTCTCGTTGAATTGAGAAAAAAACTCCGTCTGAGTGCTAAAGATTATTCCAAGAGGCCTATGGGGACAATTCTCCATCTCGTGCGCGTGGTTTTGAGTGGTGTAAGCGCTTCAGTGAGGGCTTATAGAGCACTGAAGATGACCAGCGCTCAGGTCGCCCTAACTGTTTCAACTCCGTAAACAGTGACCAAAATTATTCAAATAGTGTCTACAGATTGTTGAATGGGCATCTGGATGTTTGCTGAGGCTGCAAACGCCGATAATGAAATGGTTAGAAACATTCTACACGAGGAATAACGCATAACAAAAGTCTGTACGAATTTGGTGCCAAAAAACCTGACCTCCTGACCAAAAGCTCTTAGCATCTGCTCAGATTTCCTTGAAAGGTTGGAAGAAGATCGCGAACTGATGAAAAACATTATTACTTGCGACAAAACATGGGTTTTTCATCTGAATCACCCAGAATCAAAAAAGCAAAGATGTCCAATCAAAATTCAAGGCAATGTTGATCGTTTTTTTTGACATTAATGGTTTCGTAATGTCTGAATGGGTTCCAGAGGGTCAGACTATCAACCAGAGTTACTATTTGTCAGTTTTGGCAACACTATGAGAACGAGTTCGCAAGAAACGGCCTGAGTTGTGAAAAAACAATTCATATATTTTGCTCCAGGACAACGCACCTGCCCATAACGCGCTCTCCGTGAAGCGGTATTAGACCAATAAACGCACTCCAGTGCTCGAACATTCGCCGTGCTTGCCAGATTTGGCACCGTGCGACTTTTTTTGTTTATGAAGATAAAATCTACTTTGGAAGGAAACCGATTTGGGTGAAGCAAAAAACGGCAGAGCTTCTGAAGGCTATCACCAAAGAAGATTTCCAGCAATGCTTCGATCAATGGAAATAACGTATTGAAAGGTGTGTGGCGATGGGATGGGAGCATATTGAAGAGAAACATCCGAATGTAGAATAATTTTTATAATTAAATCCTTTTTCGTAATCAGCCGGACCTCGTATGCTCATTTTCATCCACTGAATCAATTAAGAAGTCATCCAAATAGGGAAAGCAAAAATGAACATCTTTTGTTATTTGATGGGCATATCGTTGACATATCTGCGCTGCATTTTCTAGCCTAAATAGGATAAAGAGATATTCATGAAGTGTAATTATGGCCGTTTTCTCGATATCCTCTAGATGTGTGTGAAGGACTGGACATGGGCCATGGGCCAATCCTTTACATAGCTACCATACCCAATTTACTTCTTTACACACCTAGCATACTTCATTTTAAGGAAATTGTAGGGCACTACAAAAGTTTTGAAGAGACCAATGGAGAGTGCAAGTGTTGTGTGGCTAAAAACAATTTAGAATCAAGATGTTATTTCATAAGTTCTTAGTCCTAAGTGAAACTTATCTTGGGAATTCCGCAGCATAAGAACCTGCAATTGCATCCCTTCAGTAAAATAATATAATTCTCCGGACTGCAGGCTCATATAATACCAAAATTAAAAGTATATGGTCGGGGTTTTCTACCCCAGTAGTATAAAACTTTGCTAATACAGTTTCTTTACAACTAGTGGGTTTTTCCAAATGCTCAATTTTGGAATCTGGCTTCTTCTGGCATTCGTAATTTTGTACTGCCATGACTCCGCCTAGTATATTCCTGTTAGACTGCTCTTACCAAAATAGTCCTACTTCAAAATTTATCATACCAAAGGCCCCGCCTTTAGTTGTAGAAGGTTTGAAACATTTTTGTATAGTAGTTTGTAAGTAGTGCTTGAGCAACCATTGTTGCGAACACTCGCTTTCCAATAAACTTAGGGGGTATAAATTGCTCGTTTTTTCAATTTGGTACAAGTCCTATTACTAGACTTGTACAAAGCCGCCCTGTGTAGAAACCTCACAATTATTTTATTCGTAATAAACGCGGTAAACTAATCGTAAGTCAACAGAGAGTCTGCTAAATATTCTACGCCGGACTGCACTATCATACACTCATAAGGTGTACTCTGATCAAGTGACTCTCTTGCAACTGACCTATTTCGAAGTTGTGTCGTCGAATATGTGCATGATTGAGATAGGCACAGAGGGGTAGGCGAAACAAGCTAGGGTACAGGGTTGTGCGTCTTATCGAGTAGCAAAGCCTCTATATAAGCTAGAACACCAACCTGTTGAATTTCACTTTTGCAAAAGAAAGGCGACAAAGATAGTCCAGAAGTGGAATGGGAGGAGAACCGTCTCGCGAGGACCTCATACAACCCACTTCTTATGAGGTAATACGAAGAACAAGTATAATTTGGGTTGAAACTTTCGGCCCTAAAACATCATTAGAATCAACCTGACTAATTCGTCCCGTCCTAAGAGTAGGTACGACAAAAGCGTCAAATTATCTCTAATACCATCCTGGTGCATATAGTCAATACATCATGGGGTTTTAGCCTCCACGTCTTTTTTTCATCTAGCCAGCAACAATGCTACCTTCGCCTTTCTATTCACCCCAATCGACTCATTGTTGGTTCCAGGTTTACCTAAGATCTAGTATCAATCTCATATATTCGACCACCTCCGACAGATGTATGCTTCATCTTCAAGTTTTAAAGCTCCTCAGCCCTCTGTCTTGGTCCTCTTGGTGAATTTTGCTATGGGCTGATGATGTCTAGAACGAAACTCGTATGACTTACCTCTTTCGTATTCCACCAACGCCATCCAAGGAAATTCCTGTAGACCCGCTTCAGTTCCACCATATATTTTATCTTGAGTACTGATACCACACATCTCGGTTGAGGGCAAGAGAGAGCTCTTAGATGGCTTCACTGGAAAATAAAGATAGCTTTCGTTAGCGTGGCATGAACATAGTCTAAAACCAATTTCTGAATTTCTTGAATCTTTAAGAATTTCTATTGATCCATATAGCACCCGTTCTGAACAAGGAATTTCTCTCTTCCTGTGAAATATAAAGATAAAGGTAATAATAGATGCCTGAAAGTTAGTCCAAATGTAAATCACAAACCAAGATTGAAATTTTCAATAATATATGTAATATATGCAGAATTTTGGCATTGCGATCAGTGCCTAGTCTAGGAATCGATCTCAAAGTATTAAAAGCAAATGTATGTGGGCTGAATGTTTAAATTTTGCGAGTTGTTGCAGTTGGTACACTCGTCTGACTCGTCTCGAATATTGTCCACAGTTTTTGCTGTTTAGCATGTTCAGTTTGTTGGTGAGAGGCATAAAAGTTAGAAGTGTTCGACAATTTTCTGCTTTCTAAAAAAATTTGATGAAAGAATTTGCAAAATTATTTATCTAATTATTGTTGAGCCTTCGACTTCAAATGTACCGCAATCTATCGTTGTATTTCCTAAGCTTTTCAACAGTATCCTCAAGTGCTAAATCAAAGTTCATGACATATGTTTTTCTGGTAACAGTTATTAACCAGATAAAATCATTCTTTTTTACTCAAAAAACACTCGTATCACAAGATTAACCTACGACAAACATTCATTTTTCAATTCCACATTTTGTCCTAGGGCTAATTTGTGAAACATTTTCCATTCCACCACAATAATGTATTCCAAGAAATGTGAAACATTCTTTATTCTTACAACTAATGCGGTTAATCTCATCTTCATCCAAAACTGAGAATATTACGTAGTTCCAATGACCGGGCAGTTAATTGTGTAAAATTCCCTAGATAATTACGCTATCAGATTATTTTTATTTTTGGGAAAGATAAACCTGACTAATCTTCGGAAAATTTCTTGTGAAATTCATGTAGTCGAGAATTCCAATTAAATATAGTTCATTAGTAGAAACATTTATGTATTTTACTTTCCACAAGCACTTGGAATTGCAAGGAAGAGTATCAGTTTGTCGCAGTGGTTTTTGACGAATGGAATTGTTATTTCAGAAAATATAAAAAAATGAAAAAAGAAAGTTTTAATGTATTCGAAATGTACTAAAACGATGTAACAATGAATATTTGATTGAACGTTTCGTGTCAACACGGCTATCATCAATTCTTGTCTAAAATATGAAACTGTTTTTTTATTACAAGTATTGATAAAGCGAAAAAATAACAATCCAGTCGTAAAAGTGAGAATTTCTTTGTTGAAAACACGTAAGTTGTCTGTCAATAGAATTTCTGTGTTAATTTTTCAGCTTGACGAATGTAATGCTATTACATTTTATTTTCCGTTTGAGATGGTCGATATCTATACTAGGTGTCGAAAAAACCGCATCCTTTATGTATCCCTAGACAAAAAAATCTAATGGAGTGAGATCTGGGAATCGTGCTGGCCAGGCAATTGTTCCATTGTTCATAATCCATTTTGATAAGGATATTGCATCTAAATGTTAACTCACAATTGCTGTAGGTATTATGGGGAGGGGCAGCGTCTTATTGAAAATATTGTATTTCACGACGGATATTCAGTGGCAATTCATCTAAGTAGCCATTAAACTCATTGAATAAATGCAGATTCATTTCACTATTCGAATGCTTATCGCTTATTCCGAACCTTTTATGCAAATCCGTTTCTCTATGTAAATATTCATTTGTGATAATTCACCTATAATGGATGCTTCTATTGAATCAACCGTTGTTGGTGAATGTTGATCAGTTTGTTCGTATTACTTTTTGAAATGTCTAAGCTCGTTACGGATTATCTAAAACTGACACCAAATACAGGGTATTGCATTTTAAAAAATCACCGATGACGTCATCACATCAATATGAATCACCCTGTACAATGAAATTTTATTGTAAAATGTAGAATATTAAAATTAAAAATTGGCGTGTTTCAGGTTTTTGTAAAACAACCTTTGGTTTTGGAAATATCTAATGTATTCCATATTTTGCTGACACACGGTATATTTGGTTCCTCACACATCCAGTAACAACACATTTTTTAGTTTCATTTCTGTCAAATGCACCACAGTCTCAATTTCTTTTCTAATCGTGTAAACATTTTAAAGTTCGGAATTCGACGATTCTGGTATAGGTCGCAATATAAATTTATTGCCAAAACATAGGATAATCATAAATAAACCTTCAAGGTATAATTATATGTTTTTTTATTACTTTTGTGAAATAAAGAGATGTAACATGTGTCTTTCATTCGATTATGATCTGGTACGGTACATTTTAGTACAATGTACTATGGTGAGCTGACAAGTGAATGACAAGAACCAACCAACACATGAAAAAATTCCCAATAAAAATTAATAATTGAATGATGGACAGTTATTTGAGTTATTAAAATAATAAAAACTAAGAACCATAAGACAAAGTCTACATTTGTTCATTTACTACCAAGGATGACATGAAAGGGAGGACTAGAGGCGCATTTTCTAAGATAGAGAGTGCAACTAAATTTTCCCTTTTTGAGAGGATTGATACATTTTTGAAGATCTTCTAACATGCATCTGTTTTTATTTTCAAGATTTACTTCATTATCCTGGATTTTTCACTGCAATAAAATAACACATATTTTCGATATATGGTTTTAGAAATCATAGAATAGTGATTCACCATTGATACAATTGAAGAAATTCTTAATTCGTTGGAGCATTTCACAATAATTATGTCTTCAAAATAATTATCTGTTTCATGTACATGATATTATGTACAAAATATCCTTGGAATTCCTTAAAGACTGAAAGATTTGGGGTTTCCAATTGAAAATATGTTTTGCATAGATGCTTAAAATTGATAAACATCAAATGTATGAAGTTTCTATTCGAAATAAGAAAGCTGATACTAACTTTCAAAGTGACGGGAGATAAAAGTGAATAGATCATCATTAATTACTACATGCCCTGAATTTACATATTTAATATTTTTTACTTCTCAAAATACTACCAACTAGCCTTTATCAAAAAATATCAGTTGGTATTGGTGAAACGACGAATTTATGGAAATAGGCAAAACATGTTTCTATCACTGAGAAGACTATTTGAAAAAGAAGTCACAAAACGAAATATAAAAACTTTCCAAAAGTCAAACTTTTTAGAAGGAGAGATAAGTAACACAATCGTTTTTTTTGTTACTCAAGTCACTTAGATGTTAAAAGGTAAAATAATGTCTGATGCCAGGAAACGGCCTTATTATTCTTCTTCAATTTTAAGAAATGAAAAATTCGCTAAACAGGGAACTTTCTCATTTAAAAAACTATTGAAGATCATTAAGCCGATTTGCAACAAACATGCCACTCAGCTCGAATGCCATTTTTTCTGTTAATCAGGCAGATTTCTTTTAATGTAACACAAATTTTGTATAAATAACTTTTTAGATTCAAGATGTCGGTAATCATAAATTTATATGAAAATGTTCATTTATTTTTTCCTTCAGCGCCAGTCTTTGTATTTTTCATTCTGAAAATCTGATAGTAGTGGAATTGCTATGAAAAAATGACAAATAGGATTTGGACCAAGTTTTTCAGTTACTACTATCAAACAAACTAAATTGGTTGATGAGAACCAAATCAGGGCTGGTAGGCCGTGATCGAATAACCTGAAGTACCAAACGTTTCGTCTGCTATTACGGCAGACATTATCAGTTGTGCGTGCGTTGACTGCGAGGATGGAGGTTATATCACGAAGTCTCAGTGAAAACTGAATGCTTGTTTTTCGTTACATTTCATTTGAAGAGGAGCATTTGTGATTTTCCTTCAGTCATCTGTAAAACTGCGGATTGTTAATTCAAATATAACGATTTCTATTCCTGAAATCTACAGAATTTCAAAAAAAACCTGTTAAAAAATTTGTTTTTCGTTAACCAGTAATTGGAGAGATTTCTTTTTTCAAACTTTTCAATTGCATTTTCTACGAGCAAACAATATGTGTTGAGTATATTGATATTTGTATATAACTCACGTTCCATATTATGATCAATCACTGGTTTGGATGTTGAAGATGTTTGACCTCCTAATGGGCAGCATACTTTCGGTAAGGTTCCTTCAAAACCACACTGGGAACGTCTTAGGTAATCCGCATCTTGAGATTTGATAGGTCGCTTTTCTAAGAGGGCAAATAAACTTGGACACGAACTGATGACCTTACAGTCCCCATTCTCGTTCCTGGGAGTGAAACATGAGTCGTAGGATTCTGTAATGGAAAAATTAAATTGGTATAGATAAACATTACTTTTTTCGTAAAGACAAAACACAAATATTACAGAAAAATCCGCAAGACGTTCTCAGAACAGTACCTATGGGAAAGTAGCGATTCATGTTGGATTTGAATTGCTGGAGATTAATTCATTTGGAAAAACGTTCTCAGGATGTTTATTTCATGTAAACGCATTTATCCAAATGAACGAGATCTTGAGCTGTGGAGTTCGAGGTGTACTGAGTTGAACCTCAAAACGATGAGTAGCCACAGCTCGTCAGGTATTTCTGATATGTTCCGCTCTTGGTGGAATCGAATGTGCCAAGTCACTTGAACACCTTCCGTGGAATTATCTATAAAAGATAGACAAATCTACAATCTTTCTCAGATGTTTCAGACTATCGAGGTTGCAAGTGATGTTCGTGTCTCCAATCAGGCAAATGGTTCTTTTCTGGATGGAATCCAGCAGCTTCAGGGTATGCCTGGGGGTGGGGCTACATACATGAGAACAATATTCAAGGAAGGTCTGATCTGAGTTTTATGAACCATCAAAAGTTGCTGAGGTGTGTACAGTTTTCTGTTTCGGAACAGTGTTCCAAGCTTTTGAGGAGCAGCCTTTGCAATTTCAGCGACATGATTGTGCCAAGACGTATTGTGTCCATTTTAATTCCCAACAAACTTATCGAAGCACAAAGCGGAATTGTCTGTCCTGACATCATTATATACGGTTCGGAGACATTTATCTTTTTGGAGAAAACTGATGCTTGGGTTTTCGTAGCATTGAATTGAACCTGAGTACTTCCACCCCAATTTGAAATCACCCCTAGATCCCCATTGAGATATGCAACCTCCTGCTGCCGGTGACGATGTGCCTCTGTAGATGATGTCCTGGAATCCAAAAGGAAGGACGAGAAAAGTGTGCTCTCGTCAGCCAAAAAATATATTGGATTATCGGTTTTTTCAATGAGTCGTTGATATACAATGAAAAGAGGATTGGATCCCAGGAGAAAACCAGCTATGATTTTTTTTAAGTACAAAACACACGAACTACGGGAAAATCCTTAAGGCGCTCTTGGAGCGGTACCTATGCGAAAGTAGTGATTCACATAGGATTTGGATCGCTGAAGATTGAACCCATTTGGAAAAACGTTCTCAGGATGTTCATTTCACATAAACGCAGTTTTCCAGATGAAAGAGTTCTCAAACAGTGAAGTTCGAGGTGTACTGAGTTGAACCTCAAAACGATGAGCAGCCACAGTCCGTCGCGTATTTCTGATATGTACCGCTCTTGGTGGAATCAAATTGCCAAATCACTTGAACACCTCTCTTGAAAGTATCTGTANCCATTCCAATTCCTTGTTTACTTCTTTTTATGAATCTGAGCATCCAGCCAGTTGCTCTTAACAATTTTGTCCATTTTGAAGAATATTCTGGGGTTGGAGTCAAGAAGATATTGTAATGAATCTGAAGCCGGCCCTGACCGCTGTCCCGGTCAGCAAACGCATGACGCATCGCGAAATTGCGCGAAAGGTCCGGATGGGTCCCGAAATCCGCAGAGGGATCCGGAACGTTCGTTGAAGATATAAAAACGTCGCTCTCCGTCCCGAAGAGTAGTCTGTACTTAGAAAGCGAATCGTGCGTTTAAGGAAAGAAATCTAATTGTGAAGATAAATTAAGCGTTAGTTACTAAGTGTTGTATATAAATTAGTTGTGGTAGTGAAATATTGTTAAAAATAAATTTGATTAAGACAGTTACAGTATGTTTGGGGGCAGAACTCCATACATTAGAACAATACTCCAAAGAAGGTCTGATCTGAACTTTATAAAGCATCAAAAGTTGCTGAGGTGTGTACAGTTTTCAGGTTCAGAATAGTGTTGAGGTGTTTCAAAATTCGCCTGGCTAATCTTTGTCGAAAAGTAATTTTCGGCATTGTCGATTCTAGTGTGGAAATGGTGGGTGGTGTCTTTCTCAGAAAATCGACTGTGGAGTGGGGCGCAAATTGGCCAACTAGTAGATTTGCTTTTTCTATGGCTGTAGTTGCAATTGAACCATCCGCTTCTGTTGGTGGTGGAACTGTGGATTTAGTTAATTTTTGATTAAAAGGATCAGCTACTAATCAGGAAGATCTAGACCCGATGGATCTAGGATTTAGACACATGAGAAAGTTGGTAATTCGACATTATTTTTCAACATTAAATAACATTTCAGTCAAACTTTGAAATATGCGAAAGCGCGAAGTTTTTTGTTTTTATTGTTAATTGCGTATCTTTGTCTATCAATAACGAATCTGACGTAGAAAATTTCAACTTTTGTAATACTTTGGTTGATTTTCAATTATGAAATATCATTGACCTTTGTAATGAGTCAAATATGTTAGGGACTGGTTTTTTCAAGGGATCAAACCGAGTAAAATGCTTCTTTTCACTTCAAAATTATGTTTCCTACATCAACTCCATACGTTTCAAAATAAACCTTTTTTTGAGACTAAATGAGATTCCACAAGATACTTTTTGGTTCTGTTGAAAGTATTATAATACTGTAATCGAAATGAATTGAGGATTTAGGAAGGATTTGTGTGGAGTTGTACTGTTCGTCTCCAGTATTGTTTAAGTTATCGGTAAATTCAGCGAAAGTTGGGAAATTCATAATATGCCATACGAACAAAGAAATGAAAAAAATGAAGGCGAGAGATTGTCCTCTTTAATTCAAGAACAGTTAGAAGATGTTCACAATCTAGAAGATATTAAAAAAACTTGCCCAACTGCTTGTGCAGAATCAACCAAAGCTCCTCTGCCAAAAGTAATAATAAATAATAATGAAAATAATATTTATTTTCCATAAGACATGAACATGTATTGGAATAGTCAGTTATATGAATGAATTCAATCAAGAAGATCATACAGTCACATTAAAAAATTCTTGCACGGTATAAAAACTATAATTCAATAAAAACATTTTCGAATTGAATTCAAAAACATGGATTCTGTCAATTTCTCTGAGAAAAGAAGGTAACTTGTTGAACATTTTCAATCCCAAGTAAAGAGGGGACCGGCCGGTCAGGTTGTATATAGGGTTTATAGTCGTTTTAAACTTGGGTCATTTTGTAATTTTCAATGATCAAAATTTTCATGTTAACGTACACAATACTTCCATGTCTAATACAAAAATTGATTCCAATATCAGTTATAGTCATTCGCAATGATTCATTGAATAATGTTCATAGTACCTACTAATGTTCATAGTATAATAATAGAACGGCGATTCTCTTCATTGGCGATCTGCTTCATCTGTAGTGGATCAATCTGCAATATTCTAGTCTAATTGTATTACGGCTTCGTTGTGAAAGATTTGGTCTTCTCGCTCGCGCCATTATGACTAATACTGGGATGGAAACACCTGAATTTACTTTTATCGTGACATTCGCAAACAAGCACATATGTCATAACCTCAATTATTTTTGCGCGCACCATGACAACTTCCATAACCTAACGAACCGAACGTTGTTGATATGTTCAATCTCTAATTTTTTTCATGATTTTTCAAATAATTCGATATTCATGTCGTTATTCCGGGTGGAGACGAATACTATAAATCGGAAATCATGAAAATAGGTATAGTCGTTACAGAGTTATAAATGTTGTTTAAATTGAAATGAGTATATTTTTAGGAGAGGTTAATTTTTGGGAAACAATAGTTTTGACTTTCTACTTCTCCATCTTGATACAGAAAATGTGGGAGTCTTCCGTGTTAGGAATCACACGTTGAAAGATAAGACCTCGTTAGTCCTTAGCTCGCACAAGTTTTTCAACTTCTGAGAGTTGTCGTTCGTATGGGGGCGACAGCTGATTAACGAAAAAAACATATTTTGAACAGATTTGCAAAACAAAGGAAAAAATCATACGATATCAAAAATGTATTTCCCTTCAAAGATGTATAGATCATGTAGAAAAGGAACTTTCAGACACAAACTGGAAGAAAAGGCCATATAATTCCATATAAACATTGAATTACACGAAAGAAAAATAGTTTCGAAACAAATACTTACATATGAACACTGAATTATAAAAAAAAACACTTTTCTCTATTTAGTTTGTATTCCAAACATTCGTTATGGAATTGAATCAAATGTCTTTCACAGGATTTCTACACAATACAGTGAATGAAAGAGGTAAAATTTCACTTACGTGGAAAACTGTCATCATGTTGTAAGTAACACGATTTTTGCGACTTTTTTATATATTGAATGAAATTCCATCATGAATTAGTAAGATGAATAATCAACTACTGTACACATCAGCATAATTAGGTACAAATAAAAAAACATTCAACCCAGAGTTAGCAAACTATCAAGGATATGAACTGATGATTCATATTCATAAACTAACAACCGGAAATGAAACATTATAAAACAATGAAAGTTCAAGTTTTTGATAATCAGGGTAATTGATGCAGTAAAAAACATTAAATATCCATGAACGCCTCCAGATATCAAAAACGAACGAATAATTGTAATTAAAATGACTTATAAAGTTTCTGTTTCGAAAAAATTTCGAAATGAGCTAATACTACAGCTAATACCAAAACGGACATCAAAATATAATGGAAAAACACTAGGGCGATCTACCACCTTAGATGATAGTTGTTAAACTTCCACCTACAACCTAGTTTCTGACCAATGCCTTCTCATAAGTAAGATTATCCTCTTAATCCTTATGAGGGTAGGTTTCATACAAACTCAAAACACAAAGGTTTGTGTGAATTATCAAAATAGAGTTGCACACAAGTTACTATAATACCTTGTACATCACACCGATGCACATGAGGTGATGGGTTCAATTATATTCCAAAGAATTACATCTCAATAAATAAATATACCAATTCAATTATCTGTTTCAGATATTGTTTATTTCTGTTCATTTTCGTCTAATTGGAATAAAATAATATTAATTGTATTGAATAACCCTCGAGAACATTTTCATTTATGTAGGTGTAATACTCGTGGTATTCACATGTTTTTCTCAATAAGGGTACACGTACACGTACACTTTTTCGGACTGTACAATCCCCATGGATTCTTTCAGTCCATTATCACATTCAGATTAATGATGCATAGAACATTTATAATTCCTTCATCAGAGAAGGCTTCTTGAGAAGAAATGAAAAACATGAAGCAGATCGCATCTAATAACCATATTCCTGTCAACTCAATTGAGAAAATCATCTTCAATAAACACAAAAAATTGATCATGAATGAACCATATCTAAAACATGAAGAACCTAAAGAAGCGCAGATATTTGTTCTTTTAGATGATTTGTTTTACAGCCAGTCTTCAAGTATGCCCTCTTACTATATGTGAAGTTTTTTCCTTATACGAGGAATTGCGGGATTCGGATATGCGGTTGGTTACGTCGTTCAGAAGCAGATGGGGCAATGACAAATATGTTGTTTGTCGTTCGCTTCAGCCTAGTTTAAGGAATGATGCTCCGAAAGGAGTTCGATTTTCAATTAAGGAAAATCATACACTTCATGTTGATGATGGACACTGCCTTGCACTGATGATGAGTGAAATAGCCCGAAACCGGTTTGCAAGTGTATTCCAATGATTGAAAATCGATTTCGGCAGTTGTATCGCCAACAGCATATGCAGGAATTACTTCTGTGAAGAATCCTGCACTGAAACCTGTCGGGCGCCCTTCGTAGTATTAGCCAGGAGAGTAGTTGTTTTCTGATAGGTGTCAGTCAATTAACCTACAGTATAGGTGAGAAAAATTGCTGATTTTCTCCCTGAAATAGCCATATATACAGATCAGTTCAAACCAAAAAGTAGCATCGCAAGCTGCTTCTAAGACTACTGCTAATAAATGTGTGATTATCAGTTGAGCAGTTTATTTTTGAACACGCGCTCTTGCTCGATTGCAATCCAATCGAGTAGGTGACTCTAGTAATGTGGCTGCGGGAATTCCCGTTTGCGTTATTCAGAATTTTTTTGCATTTGGACGGAAAGTTCAAATGATTCTTTGGTCTTACTTTAGAACATATTACACCAATTCATTACGAACGTATTTACATAACGTAAATCGAAAAATATAATTTCAATAAATTGATGGATGTAGCCGTTACTAGGTATGTGGTAGGAGATCAGGATGAAAAGAGAAATGAAAATTTCTATGTTTTTTACAGAGAAATGAAAGAGAAATGAAAATTTCTAGGTTTTTTACCACTTTCATTTGTAACTAACGTTACTGCAGTTTCGTCCTATATGGACATTTTCAAACTTAAACAATAAACTTGTTTAAGTTAAACAATAAACTTGTTTAAGTTTGAAAATGTCCATATAGGACCATATGTAACGTTAGTTACAAATAAAAGTGGTGAAAAACATAGAAATTATCTTTTCTCTTTTCATCATTTTTCTTCAATAATTCCATTTTTAGAAGTGACAGTTTGAAGAATAGTAATTTTGAAGAAAGAACATTTAAATCTAAACCTATAAACCTTCAAATAAATCTAAAGTTTGAAACAAAATTTCATACAACTCCAAATTATTTATTTCAATATTTGAATTTTCATTCTCTAGAAAAATGTAAATGAATTTGAAATTTGAGATAAACTATTGATATACTAGGACTAGAATATTTGTACGCGTTAGTACAAATATTCTATGTATGAAAGAGTATTGCTATAAAATGCCACTACTGCGGAACACTATCACTTCAATGGTGTACTTCAAAGTTTCGGGACAGGACACTTGCGGTCTTCGTATAAAGCTTTGTTGAAAATCTACAAATACGGTGAATGTTTGTTACACTTTTTCTCTCTATTGATTGAAATATGCATATGTTGAAAAAATGAATGGAAATTAGTGTCGAAATATCTAAATTAAAGAATCTGTAAATGAATACGATATGATCAGAATGAGCAAAATTGGTAATTTCAAACATTGAAAGGAAACACTCTAAATCGAAATTTCAGAACAGTTTCAAATGGATTCAACTACGTCAAAGATTCTGATAATTTATGTTCAGAGTATAAACATACATTAACTCCATTCATATATTTACAAAATATTCAACTTTTCTGAGAGAATAAAGTTTTCAGTAAAAAGCAGGCCATTCTGAGTCATTTAACTTATTGTCAAATTTCACGCCAAATATCATTTCAAATAAGAACAATTTGCAATACCGATGTGGTGTAAAGGTATATAATGTTTTCAAGTTTTCAAGATCATGTTCAAACCTAACGAAAACCAATATTTTGATAAGTACTGTTGGGACCTGCCAGACTTTCATCTACATCTAATACATTTCAGCCTCAACCTACAGAAATTAAAGTTATACTGTGGGTTTATTTAAATCTAATTCGATTCAATCTTGAATCGAAGAAACTTCTATAAATGAAATACATCCTCACAAAGCAAATGAATGGCATATCCTCCATGACTAATTTTTATGAAATAATTCGAAATCACTGACTTACAAGTCTTGACCATTTGCTAACTGATGATTTGAACTTGAACAATTGTTGTAAAGATTTTACTGCAAGGCAATTAGTCGAAACCAGAGCTCAAAAACAACGCAGACAGCTAGCCTAGCACAGTGCTGCTGAGCTGGGATCACGACTGCGTTGTTTTTGGGCTGTAGTTTCAACTAGGCACTTCAAAATTCCATGGATAGCTAATGAAAGTTATGGGGGTTCACCCCTTTAACTTTTTTCTTTCTCCTGGTATCATGGATTGATTGGTTCAAAAAAAATTTTGTAGCTATTTTAGTTTCACAGAAACTCACCCCAACTTTGGAATTTCAAATGGAACACCCAGTATATTTATATATTTTTGGATTCAGCAGTTCATTCCACTCATAAAATGCCTATTCTGGTACTAAAATACTGCAGATCACTATTCATTTCCGAAACTAAATTTTGTATATGCATGGTGTAAACATGGTCTATGCATATACGTGTAAACGTGATACCAGGAGAAAAAAATTATAATAGGAGCGAGCCTGAATCGGTGTACAGTGCGCCTACATAATTCATTATTAACTGAATGTACAATTCTCAAGACAGGTCAATTTTTGATTTTTTGTTTCACAGTCTTCTTGACAATATTCGAGTAATGACGTTATAACCGGTTTTTTCAATAGATTAGCCTAAGTATTTGTTTTTTAATTCAGGGTGCTATTCGCTGAGCTGATTTTAAGAATGTTTCGTCGAATGTAACTAGTAACTATAAAATTCATTATTTGCCGTTTGTGCAGGAGAGGGGCGTGTGGAATTATATCCAGGAACATCTTATTAGCTATGTAAATAAGAAAACATGTTCAAGATATTCAAATCATCTTTAAAAAAAATCATATATTCAACGAAAATTTCGAAATTTCACATATAGAAAATGAAGGTTAAAAGCTGAGTTATTTGAAAGCAATGGAAATTAATAAATTTAAAAATTCAAACATTCTAAAGAATGGATTCGAATAGATCAGCACTATTGAACTTGTTCTCTCAAAAAGCGATAATCTATTATTATGTAATCATAATTGAAGATGTACCTTAGGTATATAAAATTTGAAGATGTTTTAGGTAATTTGATAAAGTGAGTACCTAAGTAGGTGGTCTCAATTGTGATTACGTAGGGTATATAAATATCAGTTTGAGAATGAACTTGCAGTACCTAATTCGGTACGAAGAAGCCACTGTGTTAGCGAAACATGCCATATATTTCTTCAAATAAAGTTTGTAGAGACCAAATCATAAGGTGTAGTTTATGAAATTACTATGGATCTTCATCAAGTAACGGCCGAATCAATCAAAAAATTTTATTGACTATAATACAATATTCAATATCTAAGGTTAGGTTAGGTTAGGTCAAAAGTGAGTGGGTCTATTCGACCTCCATCGCAACTCGCAAGGGTTTATTGTGGCTCACACCTATTCACACTCGACCAAATAAATCCAGCTTCTTAAGGAAGCCGATTAGTTTGTATGGTGAGGGTGTATTACTCCACAGAATAATTATTGTTTTGGAGAAAACAGTTAATCTAAGTCAAAAATCTATTGTTGTTGCATAAACCAAGGCTTTTATTATTTGCATATTTATTGATTGTATCAGATTTCTCCACTGGATAAACTTCACAATATTGGAAATCATTGATTCTAACGAAAAATTCATGTATATTCGACATGTTATCAAATTCCTTCGTATTGATAATATTAGAATATGGTCATCCCTAACCGATCTTATAGAGAAAACTGAAATCATCGAAAAATATGGATTCGAAAATGATATTCGACATCAATGCCAGTGACGTATAAAATTCAAAAACTAAAACTCTGCAATCGGCAATATATGGTGAAAAACTTGGAGGTGGACTTTACTAAACATCCTGTGTATAACGAATGTAATATTTCGCGAATGAAATGCACTTTTCGCAGCATTCAATTACCAATCGTTACATTATATGCTTGATTCTTATAATACTTACATATTAGCATTTGTTTAAAATTGACAAATGATTACGGTATTTCAATCTCATATTTCATGTAAAAGCATGTAGGTACCTAAATGAATGAAAGTGAATTCCAACTTAATGAATTGAAAAATCATTATGTTTTTATTGTACCCAAAAACAGAGTTCTGGGGTCCATTCGTACAAGTATCAATCGTCTACCTTATTATTAAAAATTATGGCTTCACGAACGTATCTATCTGATCACTCCTCAACAAGCTAATCGATAAAACAAAAACTTACGTGTATAACACACATTAAATAGTCCAAAAAGTATGACAGCACTTCGAAATAGTCCAGTATCACCCATGTTTATTCCTACTTCCACAACAACTGAAAGCAAATTAGTGAAACATTATTATTACAAACAAGTTTACGAGTCGGTTTCTTGATGACCCATCTGATCTTTCGGTCTATCCGTTGAAATCGTGAATATCGAGCCAGCCTTGGGAATACCAGTGTCTGGGAACGAACTTGCTTAGTGGGAAATTAATATAGGTACGTATGATAATGAAATTAGTGACGTATCAAGATTGTAGTTTGTGTAAACTGATCAACTAAGGAAACTGACAAACCAACTGATTGACCACATAGACTCATAAACTGCGCCTGAAACGGTGGGATGTGAGACAGAATACAATTACAATAATCCGTTATAAAACGTGAAATGAATTAATTTACAGGGATTTTCACGAGGGCGATTTATATCGAAATTTTTCCAAAGTGAATTCTTATATGGGGGTCACCCCGTTGAAAATGATTATCGCAAATAACCAATATCATTCACATTGAAACGCACATCATAAAATTTCCATTACTAATATTTTTATTATACTTTATCCAACGTTTTTCCAAAATAAAATCAAATCTAATAATAATAGATATTTTCGATATGTCATCGTAGATAAATAGAATAATGTATAAACGTTAGTAAATTATAATAAAATTTCAAAATTTTTAGTGGATTACTTTCTCAAGAAATGAAATTAAACTACTCAAAAAAAGATCAGAATATGTAAAAAATGAATAGAGTTTCTTATGACTCTTGAAGGCAAGTGTTGAAGGCAAGTGATACGTTTCCTTGATGAAACTGTGGAACTTGGTGAGAGGTAAAAATATAACAACTATGAACTAGTGCCTCATACTAACCAACCGGCTACTCTCTGACATGACATCTATGTAACTCAATTAAGGGATCACGCATATTTTTTCTCTTTACTTCAATATTTTTTAGATTATTGAAATTTCATACGTGAGTATGAATGATGATGATCGAAAAATTTTCTAGATGCGTTTCGTCAACACCATAGCTTCATAGGTAGTAAAAAAGGACAGACACACTGGAATACAATTCTTATATACAACAGTAAGTTACTTCACTAATTCTTATACAAGAAAAAGTTACGTCACTACTCTCGAAGCAATGTATGAGGCTGTCTCTTAGCTGATGCGTCCACTCTCCGTAGTCCCCGCGTAGTCCTCATTTCAGATGGACAATTGCACAATTGTCTTTCTCGAATTTTATACCGGTAGCATGCATGTACTCTTCCACCACCCTCAAGGACTGATATAGATCCTTTTCTTCAGAGGCACAAAGTTGAAGATCATCCATATGAAATCTTGTGCCTCCGGTTTCCGGAGACACAAGGTTTTCGGTTCCCTTCTGAAACTGACCCACTCTGTTTGGATTCTAGCCCACCTCTATGGGACTCTATGGTGAAGCGAGTCCGGAAGAGTGATATTAGTTGTTCAAGCATCTCACTATTTCATCTGGTACTGCAAGGCATCTAAGTAAATGCAAGATGAGCTCATACGATGTTGTATCAAATGCCTTGAGGTGATCGATCCAGGCCATGGAGATGTTACGCTTATATTGTATCGAGTGCTGCGTTACACATCTGTCGATGAGCAGGTTCTCTTTACATCCAGAGACCCCTCTCCTCGACCTTCTCTGCTCATATTTCCGTTTGAATATTCGGGCAACTGCGGTGAATATCCGTGTGCATAGCGTGCTCGTAAACCACTTATTACACGAAAATAATTATTGTTATCGGTCTGTGATTCTCAGAAATCGGCAAATCATTACTATTATAATTGTTATTATCTAAGGTTGCGCTGCCAACCCCTATTCTACGAAGCCCGAAGGAGCAGCATTATCAACCATCGACACCGTGAAGAAATTGATCCTTGGATCCAAAAATCATGTGCCCTAAACAAGCGCAGTGAGCCAAAAATGACAGCTTTCTGCATTTGTCAGGCTAATATTTCTGCCTCAGTGCGGCAAACTGGCATGATCTTGAGATTCGAGAGTAAAGAGAGCAACATTCCACCAAGGACTCTAATAATCAGAACAACCATTTTGTAAGAGTGGAATGGATAGAGTTTGTGGAGCATGAAGAAAAAATCTTGATATTTTATGCGTTTTGCCCTGAGTTTATTGTATAGGTTTGGAAATGTCCGTATAGGATGAAACTACAGTAACGTTAGTTAGAAATGAAAGTGGTAAAAAACATAGAAAGTTTCATTTCTCTTTTCTTCGTTTTGCTTTTCGGGCGATATTTGTCTCATCAGGAGCTTGAAACTCTACGTCTGATATTATCTTGCTCTAATGGTCGAGAAGAACTACATCAGGCTTATCAGCTTGTATGAGCCTGAGGATACGGAACAAATAGTTTCAATGAATTCGGCACTTCTCGTTCCCCACAACGTGTATTAGGCGGATTAGGCTTTCAGGCACCTCGCAGTAGGCCCTGCACCTTTTGAAGAAACCTCTATATCCATTACTGAGGTAGACTGAGGTGTTGAAAACACCGTGGTACGTCATGATGGACACTATGCATTGGCTTATCCTTGTGTTGCCGAAGAAGTGAAGTGATCTCTGCGACTTTTATATGGGCTTTTTGCTGAAATGATACCAACTCATTAACAGAGTTTTGATCACCTTGTTAACTGTCGAAAACAAAACCGAGTTCACCAGCTGCTCGGGCAGCTGTCCTGAAGAGAAATGCTCACATTACTGCGCTCTCATGGTCGCTGATCATCCGAACCCCTGACAACTTCACAAGTTCCATCCAGTACCATTGTGTCAAGTATACACTCCAAAATAAAAAGTTCACGGTCTTTCTGTTGTCAGGGGAAGTACAACCGTGGAACCTGGAGGTTCATAATTTTTCGGGTCTTTACGTCAAGTTGATACAGCTCCTCTGAGTCCACTCCACTACTCAAAAATTAGTACAGTAAGATTGGAACGGCAAGCATATTCATTGCAGCAACTTTATTCTTTCCCGATAGTTCCGATGACCAGCTCTATCGGAGTTTGTGCTGATACTTGCCGTGCAGTGAGTTCTTCACTACTGTTAACTCATGTGAGTGGCGTTGTTCCATCTCGAGGTAAGTATACATCTCTCCGCCATCTACGAGCTTCACATCCTCTCCGTAGTCTATGCATCGTCATAGTTTGAGATAAACAGTTACATATTATTATCTTATTTTTCTATCCAAATTTGCGCTGGTCAGGCCCTATCCCTCGAAGCCCCGATACATTCTGGATGGCATCAACAACAAACGACTACTCCCTACACCGTGTGGTAAGTGATCATTGGGTGCTCTGTCCGCAAATTTCGAAATAAAAAATCTCGATATTTCCTTATCTTTCATAATCAGAAAATAATTTACCAAACCGGTTATGGAAAACTTCCAAAGCCGAATGTTTACCTTAATGCGTTACTTGCCTCTAAAGTTGAGAAGTATGTAGAAACTGCCAATTTCACAGTAATTTCATTTGAAGTTGATGAAGTTAAATTTTCTCCACAAACCATTATATTGAAATCCTTTGGATCTAGACAAATACGCAAATTTCAACTGTAGCTTCCAGCCAGTCAATTGGTTCATCTATTTTTTGCGTGATGCTATGTTGCTCTAGGCCATCTGATGTTGTTTTTTGAGAATGCACTATTTGAAAAGGGGAAATTCACGTACTGGTTTTACCACTGGTCAAGCATCTGAAATGATTTTTTAGTATTTTTTTTTTAACACACTGTACCTAAAACTATTTTTTCGAACTGATGAATAGTCAGATATCTCAGAAATATTTGGCACTATCGCATTATTATTGTAACTGAAATTTGTTCTTGCAATAAGATGAAAATCTAATCATGATTTCAAAAAGCCCCTAATTTTTTTTACTCAACATGTAAAAATAAACAGAAAGAGAAATATGACATATTTGACATTCAAACTTGATTTTCTCACTGAATGAAATTTTAGTATATAAATGGGAAAAACGTGTGTTGTTACAAGAAACTATGTTACTTTCATCAAAATGGATTTTCTTCAACATTACAGAGGTATAACGTTGGTTATGGAATCTGTATTTAAGTACGGTGTAACGTATAGTCTACAAAACTCTCCAAACGCTGGACAAGAAAACGATGGATGTTCGTATCCACATTTTCCACATTCTCCAAAAGTCAGTACTTGAGATCGTCATTTTGGACTCCACACGTAAGCTTGCAATTCATTGCGTTATTCTTCAATTTAGTTATAACGTTTTTGGGAAGTTTTTTCTACAGCTTATTTCCTGATAAATACTTGATTATATAATAAGATTTTTTGTGGGAAAAAATCATTATAATCATTATAATGCCTTGAACTTTTTTTCCTCATCAGGCGTGAATAAAAATGTATTTCACTCGTATATCATTGTGAAACTTTTACTTCGACGAAATTTGAATCGGTTGAATGTTGTAAAAATACTGTATGTAAAAAGGAAGGAAGTAAACTCCAGCTTTTGTTGTGGGGTATATAAATAGAATTTTGCTGTCCGAACTGTTATTGTGGTAAAACTACTTTTGTAATTCTGGTTACAACAAACGGTTTGATTGATTTTCTCTAATTATTTAGGATAGTTATCAGTCATCAAAATTGGTTAGAATTGTAAGTTCCTCTGTAAAAATATCTGTGGAAAAATAAAAAAATCGTGTTTTGAATTTATCGCAGAATCAGATTCACCGAAATGTGTAACTAATAAGAATTAAAGAGAACTATACGAATTTCCTCGTGAATTGACAAACTCTCTTACAAAAACGAAGGGTTACTTGCACCAGTGAATGAGCAGGAAAAGAAGATGTCTCACATTCTGGAAAAGTGGTAGAGGTTCAGACGAATTCATAGGAAATGCAACTCTTTTTGGAACTCCCAGCAAATAGCACAATAAATATATCCAAAAACTATTTCGTTCGAATTTTATGAAATTGAACTACGAATTTCAATACTTCATCAAGTCCAGAATCACTATGGTGAAGTACTTTTTTCTATAATTTCTCAAAATTGGCTCAGATAATACCTCATTTCTGATTTTAGGTCATCAAATTCTGTAGGAAATCCACAATTTATTCCGGAAAATAAATCATTATGAAACCCATTTTATGAAAACAGTTGATAAAAAATGCTTCTAAGGACTCCAGAAATTTCATCAAAGATAA